GTGTGTGATTAGAATAGAGGTGGTGTTCTATTAGAGAGAGGTGGCCCCTGGAAAGGATGAGAGATGCTCAGTCAAAACTCAGATGTGAGCCCATTGTCAGATTTAGACAATGAAGGGCCCAGTAGGCCACACTCAAGCAAGGCTGTGGCAGGGATCATGATCTGTATTAGTCCATTTCCACACTGTTATGAAGAAATATCCAAGACTGGGTAATTTATAAAGAAAAAGAGTTTAATGGACGCATAGTTCCACATGGTAGGGGAGGCCTCCTAATCATGGTGGAAGGTGAAGGAGGAGCAAAGGCATGTCTTACATGGTGGCAGGCAAGAGAATTTGTGCAGCGAACTACCCTTTATAAAACCATCAGATCTCCTGAGACTTATTCACTATCGCAAGAACAGCAGGGGAAAGACCCATCCCCATGATTCAGTTGCCCTCCAGTGGGATTATGGGAGTGATAATTCAGATTTGGGTGGAGACATGGAGCCAAACCATTTCATGATCCAAGCCCATGTTAGCCAGGGCAGCGGGCAGCAAGGGGGGAGACATGGGAAGGGCACAAAAGGAAGCACAGTCAAGTTTTCTTCCAGGCGTTCTGCCCGTGCCAGGGGGTCCCTCCTGCACCACCTCGCACTCACCTGCAGGTCTGGGCTGGTGCATCAAGAGGGAGGTGGAATCTCATTCTCCCTGTGTGAGTGGACAGTGAGTGGACATGGAAGTGCGATCTCACTCCTGGTTTAACCTTTCCCTTGCCCTCCAGCCCTCAGCTTCACTTTTTCTGATGACCAAATAATGACAATCTTCACATCGCCAGGTTTGCTTCAGCTTCTGCTGACAGCCGACTGCCTTAGACATCAAACACACGTTATCCAGACGCCTGAAACGGCTGAGCCCCAGGGGACTGTTTAGCAGTTTTAATGACCTTGAAAATACTTTGATGCAAATGCTTCTGCTGATAAGCACCTATTGTGCTACAAACCCATTGTGTGCCATCTGCTGTTATTAAAGACGGGGATGAGGATGTGAGGGTTTTCCCAGAAAGAATCCGAATCACCACTGCTCTCTGGTTTGGCCAAAAAAAAAAAAAAAAAAGATTTATATTATCATCACTTTTGGTTCCCAAGGGGTTAAGCGTCCTTGCGCCTTCGTTGGCCCATAGCAGGTACTTAATAAACGTTTGTGAGATGAGAATGAATGAATCACTAGATGGAAGGCACTGGCAGTTAGGAGGAGCTCATTAAAACCTTTCTAATTGAGATCTCCCAGCCTGCAGCGGCTGTGATGGTGAACACCAGCCATGCAAAGCGTATGTCTGCTTAGGACCCTGAGTCTACAAACCGGAGGGAAGAGACTCGAGCAACAAGTAATGACTGCTGCCCCTCCATAATCCCACCTGCCCGGCCCGGCATCTGCCACCCGGCCCTCCTCACCATCTGCACCCGGAGGGCTGGCCATTGCCAGGCCTCCCCACGTGGCCTTTCCAGAACACAGTACCGTCACTGACCTCACTGTCATTGGCCCCATTCGCCGGCAGCTCTGGACACCAGATGGGCCTGGCGTGGAGCCTCATTGCTGGTGGTTAAGCAGTTTAGCTCACTTTCTACCTCAGCGTCTTTGAGGATCCAGCCTGCCCAGGAAGACGCTCACTTCTTTTTGTTTTCTTTTGGGAATTCTATGAGGCTGCTTCAGGCACTGATTTCATCCTGTACATTTTTCTCCCATGGCCATGCGGGCCTGAATGTGTGGCTCACCTTGTGCAAATGGCTGGAGCCTCCCCCTGCAGACCAGGAGAACACGGCAGGCACCGGATTCTTCTCGACCTTCAGAATGCAAAGGTCCCAGAAAGGAGTCACCTTGAGAGCTGAGACGCAAACTTCCACGTCCCTAATGCTTGAACTGCTTTCAAACCTGTGGCAAATTGTTTTGCATGTATTCCCATTAACAAATCAACAAAACAAAATACACTTCATTCTTGGAGGGTTGATTTGAATTCTAGAAACAGCCGAGTCACTTACAGCTGAGTCTGGGGCACAAGGTGGGTGAGACAATTTGGATAAGGTATTTTTAGGTGAAAAATGAGAAACGACTTTAAAGCAATCCAACTGATTTTCATAAGTGACTCTTAGCCTGAATTTGGTGAGTATGATACAGACGTCTTGGGCAAAGGGAACGGTATTGTTCTAGAAGTATTATTCCCCAAGATAGCCCACGAAGACATTCATTCAGATGGGAAAACTAAGAACTTTTTTTTCTTCTGCCACTTCGAGAAAGAAAATTTGTGTTCTTTTCTTTTTCCTTTCAAGCAATCATATTCATTTATACAAGTATACAAGTACTGTATACCAGAATGATCAAGGTAATGTCCCCCCAAAAGATGTTAGATCGTCCTGTAAAGATGTCCTTGCTTTAGAAAGGAATCAATTTGTTGGCATCTGTTGACCATTTCCCACTTTCTTTTCTGTCTTCATGCAAGTAGCAGAGGCCCCTGAATGACAGAGGTACAGGTACAGGACTGGCCCTTGTTCTTCTCACCTGGCAAAGCCACTGTGCCAGGACGCATTCACTACCTCCCTCCTGATCAATTGCATCTATGCCATTCTGAGTTTCTACGGCAGACCCAAGGTCAGTCCATCCAACATCCGTGACTCCTCTCTGCCTTACCAAGAGAACCTTCATTCAACCCTACAAAACTCATCCTCCTGGCAGCCAGGGGCTCACTGAATGGAGGCAGAAGTCAACTGACTTCTGCAAAATCTTAGGTTTCCTGATAAAAGACAGACATGGTCACAGCTTCCTCTTCTCCCACTTCTTACTTTCTCGAAGATAGACGTGATGTCTGGAGCTACAGCAGCCCATTTGAAACCAAGAGGAAATCAGCCTGAGGATGAAAAGCCAACCTGACAAAGACAAGGAAAAGCCTGCATACCTGATGGCATTGTCCAGCAATGGAAGCAAGGCCAGCAACCTGTGACTTCTGGGCTTCTCAGCATATGGGACACACGAGACCCTCTGCTCTGGTGGCTGGACTCCCTACTCCTAGCAGCAGACACAGATCAGCCTCACACACAGGTGTTCCTTTAACATGGTAAGTGCTGTGTGGCAGTGTACCTGGGTACCAAAAGCACTTCCAAACCTCAGCTGAGTCTATTCGTTTACAGAAAGGGTGGGATGAACTACGAACTTAAAGGCTGATAATTCTCATCTTGAGAGAATTCTGGTATCAGTAGTTCTAACATGTTTAGTTTCTGACTTAAAATGCACTAAGGCAGTGGGGCGTGATGGCTCACGCCTGTAATCCCAGGACTTTGGGAGGCCAAGATGGGTGGATCACCTGAGGTCAGGAGTTTGTGACCAGCCTGGCCAACATGGTGAAACCCTCTCTTCTAAAAACACAAAAATTAGCCAGACATGGTGGCGGGGACCTGTAATCCCAGCTATTTGGGAGGCTGAGGCAGGAGAATTACTTGAACCTGGGAGGCAGAGTTTGCAGTGAGCCGAGATCGCACCACTGCACTCCAGCCTGGGCGACATAGAGAGACTCCGTCTCAAAAAAAAGCACAGCAACAAAAAAAATTTGGGTCAGGCATGGTGGCACATGCCTGTAATCCCAGCACTTTGGGAGGCCGAGGCGGTGGGATCACTTGAGGCCAGGAGTTCGAGACCAGCCTGGCCAACATGGTGAAACCTTATCTCTACTAAAAGTACAAAAAATTTAGCTGGGTGTGGTGGCAGGTGCCTCTAATCCTAGCTACTTGCCCGGCTGAGGTGAAGGAATTGCTTAAACCTAGGAGGCGGAGGTTGCAGTGAGCCAAGATCGTGTCACTGCACTCCAGCTTGGGCAACAGAGTGAGACTCTGCCTCAAAATAAAAATAATAAATAAAATTTTGAATTGACAAATGACTCATGCTGAGGAGGCCCTAATCTTCTCATAGGCAGTAGGAGAGGGGATTGGGTGCTTGTTTAGATTTCTGTTCTGGGGAGGGGCAAAAGGAATCTGGTTTTTAGTCTGTGCCTGCTATGTCCAAGAGACTTCACCTACATCACCTCATTTAACTCTCACATCCACTTTGACAAGGAAACTTTATTCTCTTTCTTTTATGTTTTCCGAACCCGAATCTCAGAGAGGTTGAGTAATTTGCCCAAAGTCACACAGCTCGTTCAGCAGATCTGACTCCCCAACATTGATCTCTCCCATAGCAGCAACCCAGCCTTGCACATAATGAGACTTGAGTCATAATTACTTTTCTTTTCTTTTCTTCTGTTTTTTTTTTTTTGAAACAGGATCACCCTCTGTCACTCAGGCTGGAGTGCAGGGTTGTTAACATGGCTCACCATAGTCTTGACTTCCTGGGCTCAAGCCATCCTCCCACCTCCTATGTAGCTGGAACCACAGGCATGTACCACCATGTCTGGCTAATTTAAAACATTTTTTTTTTTCTCATAGAGACAGGGTCTCACTTTTTTGCCCAGGCTGGTCTCGAACTCCTGGGCTCAAACAACCCTCCTGCCTCAGCCTCCAGGCACCGCACCCTCCATCTTCTTGATGGAAATCGGTCAGAGAAGAACCCACGAGTGACTGGTGATGCTCTATTTTCTCAGTCACAACCTTAGAGGCACAGGTTTTCTTTTTCTTTTAGTGGGGATAGGTGAGTGGGAGCCAAAATTTGTCACTGTAAAGACTCCCACCCTCCTGTCCTCACCAAAAGGAAAAGAAAACTTTGCATTTGAGGTTGTGATTCAGAAAACAGAGCATTAACTTAGGGAAATGTCTCCGTCGGTGCGTATACTGAAGGAAACTGCCATGTTGCTCTCTGCACCATTTAGAGATGATGTGAGTTAGGAACTGTTGGAAGAGACATTAATAGATATGAAATTTTTGTCATGATGAAACTAATGCTGTGTTAATAAGAAACAGATGAAGGGCCCATCTGTTTCCTTCCTTTCTCTTCTTAAGAGGATATAGCAGAATGATGGTTAAATAACTCTGAGGACAGTTAACATGATAGCCTTTCTCATGTCAAATGTGTGGAAAGAGAGTGTGAGGACGAAGTTTCAGGTATTGTAAAGAAATACCTTGCAACCTAAACAACTTTTTAATTAGCTTTATTTCTACCAAAAAAAATAAAAAACAATCCAGAATGCTGTACTGCAGCCAAGAGAATGAATGCATGTAGGGTGTCTGTGTGAGGGCTGGAGAATGACAGGGCTGGGCAAGTCCAAACCTGCCTCTTCTCATGCCATCGTCTCACATGGCACCCTGAGGAAGTAGCAAGAGCAGGAGAGAGGACTGGATTGCCCTCTGCTATGGGCTGAATTGTGTACCCCCCAAAATTCATCTGCTGAAGTCCTAAGTCCCAGTACCTCAGTATGTGACTTTATTTGGAAATAAGATTGTTGCAGATGTCATTTGTTAAGATGAAGTCATGTTGGAATAAGGTGGATGCCATAATCCAATATGATTGGGTTTTTAAAAAATTTTTCATTTGAAGTCTCTGTTCTGTTCTCTTTTATTATTATTATTATACTTTAAGTTCTAGGGTACATGTGCACAACGTGCGGGTTTGTTACGTATGTATACATGTGCCGTGTTGGTGTGCTGCACCTATTAACTCGTCATTTACATTAGGTGTATCTCCTAATGCTATCCCTTCCCCTTCCCCCTTCCCCACAATAGGCCCCGGTGTGTGATGTTCCCCTTCCTGTGTCCAAGTGATCTCATTGTTCAATTCCCACCTGTGAGTGAGAACATGCCGTGTTTGGTTTTCTGTTCTTGTGATAGTTTGCTGAGAATGATGGCTTCCAGCTGCATCCATGTCCCTACAAAGGACACGAACTCATCCTTTTTTATGGCTGCATAGTATTCCATGGTGTAT